TGAATTTGTATTTTAACTAGAAATTTTAGAAAAAAAAAGGGGGAGGGCGCGGGGCGAGGGTGCCCCGTCCCAAACCTGCCCCGCTGCCATCTCTATACAAAATAATCCATCACACCTGAATTTACTAGATTATTCAGCAACTTGAACTTTCCTGCAATCTCCTTGTATTTCAATTCCAGCCTTTAAGCCACAACAACAATAAGCATATCAACTATAAAGGCTCCATAAATTTTCATTTAATAATCATTACCTGCAGATTTACAATGTGATGCTTCCCAGTCATAAGAAAGAGAAACTTACTATGACCATGTAAGTGTTCCATTTTGTCTAACACCTGACCTTGGTGTGAAATTTAATGTAATTAAAATCTTATCATCGGAAAATGCTACCATATAAAATTAGGAGTCTGATCAACTATTTGCTTTAAAACAGAATAAGGGGAAAGTGCAAACTTCAAGTTGTTATGGCCGATATAAATACGAGTTGAATACTAAATACGAAGATAAAATGTTTCTGATTTGAGAAGAAAAACAATCTTCACATTTAAAATTTTCATCAAAAGAATGATAATGTATGTTTTCCCTTGACTTGTGTGGTTTGCTTCACTTTCACACACACACACACACAGAGGGTTCACTTAGTCTACGCTCAATTTCTTTTCTGAGATCGGCAGTTGTATGAATTAGTATGGCCTGTTCTTGAGGTTCCCAATAATATGCTTCCAACCAATCAAGTGCATGAATTATCAGAAACATATATGAAATTCATGGTGTCTAGACTTCCAATGCTACAAATAATTCTAATTTTTAAAAATGAAATAAGAAATTCAATATTTAATAAGGAGATGTAGATTCTAATTTAAGGCCTCTTTCAACACAGGCAAGTTACCAAGATGTCAGATCAATATTTTACGACTAAAACCCAATCTTCAAAACTTCAGCTGACCAAATATCAGGTCAACATGTTTATGTTGAGACATACATTTTTATTTGTGTGCAGTACACTTGCTGATAATTCAACAGCTCTGCAAATATTGGGTGATTCTAAAGCATCGAAATGAATTTTTTTGTTTTTTTACTTGTGTATATTTTGAGAAAGTGAAAAACCAAAAGATCTTTACAAGCTTCCTTTTACACATTGGAGCCATGCTAGTGCAAGAAGAATGGTCAAAGAAATTTTAGCTGGCATTACATAAATAGTGACATTTGAAAAAATACAAAGAGGTGGAAATCATTTTAAAATACTACGAATCCAAATGCAGCCAAATTACTATACAAATAAACATGTTCCATTTCATATGCATTCCAGATAAAAGTGTAGCTTCTGTCCAAGAAATCAACCACAATAAAGATATCAGCTTCAAATAGTACACAAAATATTACCTTCATTGATGCAAGACGAACCAGTTGAAAAGACGGGAGATCTGAGAAACCTCTACAAACTTTTTAACACCCATTAATAATATATATAGAAAGACAAAACAAGTAACGCAAAAGAATGAAAGCAGTTCTGCAAAATCACATCCAGAGAAATTCACCACGACGAACATCAATAAGCATTCTTGGAATGCCAATAGCATTTGCTGTTTCCCCAATTGGAATCTCTGAACCAATATTTCATGGTCCATATACATTAACAGAATAATAAATTAATGAAAAAAGAAAAAGAAAAGTTACCTCATGATTGCCATGCAATACAGCATGGACAGCAGCATTTTTTGTGATTGCAAAGCACCCTCACTTAAGTCATCTTTGTTAAAAATTGGGGTTCCATCTTAAAAGGTCAACCTTGTTAAAAGGAGTAGCCCAAGATCTTTATTAATTGGTCTGTATCAACATCATTTATCAATGTGGGATATATATCCCTTAACACGCCCCCACAAGATGGTGGCTCATTTGAGCAGACCAATCTTGAAATACACGTGCTCATTTTTAGAGTCTTAACGAGATCGAATCGCTCGTTAGAGCATAATGGGCTCTGATACCATGTTAAGAATTGAAGTTCCATCTTAAAAAGTCAATCTTGTTAAAAGGAGTAGCTCAAGATTTTTATTAATTGGTCTGTGTCAACATCATTTATCGATGTATGGTATATATATCCCTTAACAATCTCTACAATCGACCCACAATGTAATATTTTACTAGAACCAAAATCTTTCCCGCACCATCTTCATGCATACAAATATATTAAAAGTACATAAAAAAAAAACGTATTTGTTAATATGAAAGTAATAAAATTCAATTGAAAGAGCTGAAAGTCATGAAAGGGATCTTCTTCTTATCAAAAAAAATGAAAGGGATCTTCTTGATGAATTATAATCGAAAATATCAAAGGGAAAAGATTTTTTTTTTTTTTTTGGCTGAATTTAGACTAAATAAGAACAAATAAGAGAAGTGGATTACTTCAAAAATTGGTATCTTCTACTGAATCTTACACAAAAAAATAATGGCAATCGATGTTTATCTGAACTAAATTATGAAGACACTGAATTTGCAGTAAAAGAAGAAAAAAATGAATTTCTAATTAGTTTTAACTTAAGAAATATGAAAATAAAAACTCGCCTGAAAAAAGGATCTTTCTGTTGACTTTCGATGATATAAGCAGTGACTTCAATCACCACCGGAATGCACCCTCTGCTCCGCCACGTCGATATCTAAAAACCCAACCAAAAAGGAAAACAACAATTTCTTTCATAAAACTAAAAGTACGCATAATTTATTTATTTATTTTTTTTTTTTTTTAAAGACACGATCTCAATTTCATATATCTATTCATTCCATAATTACTCTTTGGAGGGTAGAGTTTATATAATCTGGAGAAGAGGAGAAGGGGGAGGTATTAACGAAGTTCCACTCGTCCCAGCTAATCCGAGGGACTAGCTTGAAGCTGTGGGATTTGTCTTCTACGACGTCGTCTAGTTGGGGTTCCTTACACCCTAGTAGCAGAGACTCCATTTTTGTGATTATTTCAAGAACCAGAAGAGCAGATTATTGAAAGAGAAGACTGCAGAAGGGTTTCAAGGAAGGCCGGCTTATTTAGTGGCGAACCTTACCGGTTTAATTGAACCTGTTGGCAACGCTTAAAAATTGCATTTCGCCCCCTATAGTCATTGGAATTTGCAATTTTTTTTTTTAAACATCATTTGCAACTTAACCTTTAAAGATGTCTCTTGCCATCAATTGTATCTCTTGCAAAATATTTTAATTGCTTGATTTCCAAATAGTTGATTTTAATGGCATAAAATTGCACCTTTTCCATTTAGAGAAATTATACGAGAGACAAAATTGGACATTTTCCGATTGCGTTAGCAATTACAAAGAGCTAGCCAGGAAAAATAAAAATTAAACACGCTATAAGCACAATGATTGGGCTACAATATGTTCCTACTACGATAGAAGAAAAACTCCAAACACAGAAAAGAGTTATCGACATCTACAACAGACTAAGATGAGTGCCCGCTCAACAACACTTGACGCTAAAGAGCCAATACACGAGCCACCCTTGGTAGTGTTGGATATGCCAATGTGCCGAGAATAAACCAGTTGAAGCTCAAGAGCGCAACAGCATCAGATGCAGGTTTGTTATTAATGGTCGCGAAAAATTGAACAACACTCATCAAAGACATTACGACAACAGTAAAAAGAGCAATGACA